ATTAAGTTAAGTGCGTCGCAATCACCGTCTTGTATTTCTTTGTAAATATTATAACGATCTCTCTGTATCCCTCTCGGCTAGGGTATTATACCGGGTTCCTGACAAGTGCGACTTTTACTGGTAATTTTATCGGGTGCCTTGTGGTAGGTTTGTTTGTCTATTCATTGAAATAAACAAAATAAGTGCATAAAATGATTGTGCAAAATTAAAAAAAAAATGTGCAGAAACCAACAGGTCTTGTACATAGCTCTCCTCTCAATTGAAAGTAAACAAAGAATAATAAAAGGAATGATAAATACAATGTTACGGTAAAAAAGGTGATAGCAGTGATATGACATAGAAAACAAGTACACATATTGATTGGTTTATCAAAGCAGTGCACCAATGTCAAAAGTTTATCGTATTGCACTACTTAAGATCTTCTCTTAAAATTACTGTTGTCAAAGAAATTTTATAAGATAAGCAACATAGTATAAACTGACTGTATTTAGGTCTGTGTCAGGAATGATTTTCTTAAGCCTGCCAACAATTGATTGATTGATTGATTGATTGATTGATTGAGATATTTTGCTTTTTAGTGGGGGAAACTGTCGGACATTGTTGGCAGAAGGTAGGACAAATATCCTTTAACTTATGTACAATGTATAATTCAGATCAACTGAATATTTTGCTGTTTATATATCAGATAGTATTCCAAATAGTATCCCCATTCAGTGACTTACCAACCTGATGAAACTATTAACGGCTGTCTGTTGCTGTGCAGACCCATCCTGCTGAGTTCGGCCACGGCTCTGCTGGTCGGCATGGTGCTAGTGGGCTTCAGGTGGGACCTACAGACCTCATGGCACAGGACTTGTCTGTACTTTTACAATTTTGTTTCTTCTTTATGACCACGTAACTTTAATGATAGGTGCTAAATTAAACTTACATTAGCAACACACAAGACAGTAATGCAAAATCAAGTATGTAGCTAGTCTGCCTGGATTTAAAGTACTTACACATATAGCACATTATGCAACATTATTTACATTTAACCAATAACATGATAGAGGCAACTTTTTTTATGGGTTCACCACACTTGTGGTGAAACCATATTGTCTTTGCTGATGATTCTCCTCCTTCTTCTCCTCCTGACATATCTTTAAATGGATTCAGCTTCTTCATTTTAGGGCCTAAGGTCCTGAAATTTGGTATGGAGGTACAATGGGCAAATACCCCTAGGCGTTTATAAATTTTTTGTGATACAGGCTTTTAGAATGGTTTTATTGGAGTTTTTTGGCTGTGTTATAGCAAAGTATTACTGTGTTAGTGTGCCGTGTTTACCACGTTTGGGCATGAGTCATCACAATGGAATGCAGGACATCAACCAATAGGCATGCAGCTTTCCTCTATTCTTCTTGCTGATTGGCTGTTGGGATTTAACTTGATTAACACCTGCACAGAGCATTTCCACCTGCACAGAGCATTTCTTGCTGATTGGCTGTTGGGATTTAACTTGATTAACACCTGCACAGAGCATTTCCATACTGACAGTATGTCTGTATTCAAGTGTTTTGGTAGGTATTTCAAGCTTTCCTGCTCCAGCATTGGAATGCGGGGCATGTAACGTTTTTTTTTTTTGAAAATCAACAGTTTGCATTATGCAATTAAAAATCCTAACCAATAAAGTAGGGAATAGCTATCCAACTGTTGTTTTAGTTGTATGTTACTTCATATTATAGTTATATCAATGTAAATCATTGTTTTCCCTTGTGTTTCTCATTCTTTCCCTGCCATGTCGTAAAATGTGGTGAACCCATCGCTATATTTGCTCCAAAGCAAATATTGGCCTTTCTAGTTTATTCTCACGCTCTCATCAGTTTTGGGAATCCAATGGCGTGACTTCAATTTAATTAAATCAACATGGCCTTAAAACATTCATCTATTTATCGCATTAACACAATCATGTGTACTTTCAATCAAACTAGCCCGGTGTCCAGTGTATCGTACCCTGGGTGCCAGCTCCTACCTCGGGTGAGAGATAACCTTTTGGCCAGAGAAGCCACACGCCCCGCCGACCCGAATTTGCGCCCTGGCTCTAATTATCTGCTGGCGTCCGGCGTGAAAGATAAATGGTTCGGGGCATCCTGTTGTTGGGCGGCGGATACAGTAGCGGCTTCTTTCCACAAAAAAATCTATCGCTTATGAACGCCAGCGTCTGGCACCCAGGCTAAGTGCCTGGGGCGGGTTCTCTTCGGGGCTCTAGAAGCTCTTCCCCGACCGACACAGCTATGTTCCCCAAAAGTTTTTCACGACAGGGGTTCACTTAGTCCCACCACGATCGTAAGGGCATAACAGTCCTACCTGTCGGTTTCTTGAGCCAGACGGGACAAACTACAATACAGTACCGAACTCAACCTGTCCCAAACACGATAGACTAGATACCAGGCTACATTCTAACAATCAATCAATAAACTTAATTGCTTAAAAACTGTACTGTTACAATATATGGCAAAGAAAAAAATAACGGGTAGATACATGAACTATACTAAGATATAATTCCAACAGAACTAGTCCATAATGGTACTAATGCTCATCTGTTGGGTTTTCGTAAGGAGAGTATTATTACATTCTGTATTTCATGAGATATGTACGTTTTTTTTACAATATGGTGTCGCTTTTGTGATTCGGATATGAATTTTCCAACGTATACTAAAATCTGAGTACGGCATGAATGAAGCATGTTGAAGATATCTGGTTTTGAATGGGGAAATGTAACATTAGTTTTGAAAGGTATAGATTGCATTAACTTCAGTCTGTTTTCTTCATATGTTGAGCATGGTATCATTAAGTCGACTTCAATATCTTCTTGCATGTCGGACATAATCTCTGATCGGCTGGTGTACTATAGTAACATGTCCTGACCGATGTTTCCTCCCAGTTTCTCCTTCGTGTGGACCGTGTGCGTGCTGTTTTTAGAAGGGCTTTTAAACGGCACCATCGTCGTGGCCAAGACGTATCTGTATGAGGTAAAATAAGTTATATACATCCTTGATTTTAGTTCGACACAAGACTACGTACATGTATCATATAATCAACACAACTACACATTGAGAAAGTCTCATATAACTGCAATCCTCTTTTTTTATTTATTGAAACAACAAAGTACAAGACATGGTACAAGACACAGAGGTGGAAACTCTAGCCGAAGCTAATATTAATCACACCACTGACATAGAATACAAAATACAGGTATGACAATGGCAAAACAACAAATGAGCGTTTGTATATACAAGACTAATGGCAATATAAATCATTAGGCAACTGTTAAGTATAAAGGTTTGAGTAAGAATCAGAATTTTTTGTTGACTTCTGTTGCAGTCCTCTGCAGCATGGATTTTTGCCAATGTTGTAATTCAGTTAAATGTAAGGATGGGTGTTATTTTGTTTCTGATTGCAGGTACAGATTCGACAGTATAGACATGATAGATATATCCTCCATACTTGTAAACAATGTCTCCAAGTCTTAGACATATCTCTACTAACACGACCTCCGTATCCTATTTATCTGCAGATTTGCCCACCGGAGTATCATTCACTGGCCTTTTCTCTTGTCTGGGTGCCTAACAACGTGGCCCTATTTGTGGTGAGTATGTCATCCCCCTATCCACAAAATCCCACAAAATAGTTTTCATACTTCTTGTCTTTTCAACTAGTAGACTGTTTCCTTAAATGCTTTCAGTTTCAGTTTATTTGTTTTACCAGTAAATACAGCTCAGGCCATTTTGGTCTGCTTTTCAGGTAATCCTGGATAAACATGAAAATACATACAACAAATACACAGTACCTCAGCAATTAGATACTTTAGATTAGTCTCATTAGATTAGTAATGAATAGTAACATTAAGAACCATACGTTTTATAAGAGCCGAGTCCGTCACATTTTGTGACTGGTTTACTGTGTACTGTGGCTGGATGTCACGGTAACAATGCATTTCCGATGGTGAAATCGCTGTAACAATGCAGTTCAAATGGTAGTATTTTATTTTCCCAGCCGTCTAACCAATGCCGTTACGCTTCCCCAGGGTCCTACACTGGGTGGATTTTTGGCCTGTCCAGCTACGAGATTCCAGACTTTCGACATCCCGATCTTCAGGCAGTTCCCGTACCTGCTGCCCTGCGCAGTAGTGGCGTGTTTACAATTTTGCATTCTGATAGGTCAGTCTGAGCATGACGTGCACGTCTTCGTTGTATTTGATTGGTCAGCAAACTTTGATTGAACCTCCCGACCGACCCCCGAATGTTTTTTTTTTCACTATTTTGGAAAATCTAGCCTTTTGCAGTGGATTACTATGAACAGCTAAATTGACCGAACAAGAACCGACTCTGTACTGGCCTACTTCTGACCATTGCGTTCGTCTAGTGTTCGGGATCTGATGGGCTAAATTCGTGACAGAGGTTTCACTTTGCACAGAAGTGTACTTTACTTTACAAAAGTGTATTTGATTGTCTTAAAGCACGGTTTTAAAAAGTGTTGCCATCTAGATTCCTTGTGTCCGATCATTAGGCCACACCAATTTAATTTCTTGGTTGAACGGATTTTTCTAGAAAAATAATGGAGCGGGCGAAAAAAATAAAAATAAAAACAGGCCTAGGCATCCTTATATGGCCCAAAATGGTACGCTAGGAGCCATGAAGTCAACACACCGTGCTGGTTCCAAATTCAAACAATAAATTTTGAACTTTTAATGTTACCACTGCATTGAAAGATGGAATAACTGTTAAAACTAGGAAGAACTAGGAAGTACTGTTTTCAACTGTTCAGGGCAAAATATGAACATTTTGCAGTTGATTCTGATTTTTTTTCTTTTTTGCAAATGAGAAAAAATGAAGCGGACGATTTCGTCAACCAAGAAATTAAATTGGTGTGGCCTTAAGGTATTACAAAAATACCTGATATTTAGTCGTATGAACTTTTTTTACACAGTTGGCTGCATTCTTTTGACCGAATCTCGGGGTAAAACCCCCAAAGATGAGTACATTGATCTATCTGAAGTATCTGCCGAAGACGACGATGAAAAACGTGAGTAAACTTGCTTCGGCTACAAGTTATGTCAAACATATAATGCTAGTATTAAACTTTTTAAAAATCTTTCTATTCGTTC